TTGACACAGAAAAGTGATATCATCAAATCCAATGCCATTAAAATTACTAACTAGGAGGAATGATGCTTTAGTAGCTGTAAGTGATGTTGAATCGCGAAGGTTAGGAGAATTTATTCATTTTTTTGGATCTTAACCGACAGTGATGTCCACCCACTGGCTGATTAGTCGGTTTAGGTCTGGCTGACTCACAACAACGTAACTGAATAATAGGGACCATTACGCTCGCAACATTTTCTTAAACATAACTGTGTAGACTGACAGAATGAAATGAGTCAATTTCTCTCTTTTCAAGATCATCTTGATTGTGAAGTTAAAGGGAAAAATAGTGAATGGATCAATGTATGTGAAACCAAATTAAGCTGTTCACTTTCAATACTCCAAATAACGCCTAACCTATAATAGAAATCGCTGACCTAATGAAGAATATATTTTTAAACCAATGTACAGATTGCTGCGATAAGTAATAAAACCAAATAGACAACCACGAGGTATCACCAGATGCTGTGCAAACAATGGCACATTTTTAAATATTTTTTTCAAAATTTGTTTCTTCAAACCGGAACATCATTCCCTTTGAAATCAGAGGAACAAATTCGGACGGCTGATAAAAATATGAGCCAGGAAAATTAGTCAGTCACATTATATCTACACGGTTGTGGACTTACCTGATTGTCGTGTTTTCAGAATGCCTTGTACGCCTGAGGATTTTTATGAACTAGATATTTAGGTTTCCCTAGTCGTATTCGCTTCGTCAGTTGTTTATGCGGCTTAATATCAGCGGTTAGAAGTCATTTCTTCTATTCCTGAATGTTTCTATGTACTCGTAGTTTAAACGGGTATTTAATTTATTTAATTTAAGGAGGCTGAAATTAGTTATTTTAACATATAGGATAGTTGTTTGTTTGTGCTATGTGGAGGCTTTAGAAGTTTGGTAGAAATCCTTGATTGCGACCGATCTGTTCGTTAAAAAAATGCAAAACTTGTTGTTAATAGTGGTTGTTTTAAAAATCGTGGTTGGAATTCACTCCAGGTTATTTAGTCTCAATTGCACCTGTAGCTTTTTCAGGGTTTGTACTGGTCTCAAGCCCGAATAAAGGAGGATGGTTGAGCATGGTATTAACAGCCTCGTCTTGTAGAAGACGAACTAGCTAAAAAGGCTGAGCGGAGTAAGTAATTTAAATCATTTAACTTCTGGCATGCCAGTTGAAAGATTTTTATTTAGAACTCTGACGCCTCATGGTGAGAGCCGTTATTGATCGAAAGTCATGACGCCGATGTCCTCCTCTAACAACCAGAGCCACAAACAAAATTGTCACACTTGAAGGCGAGAACTAATAAAGCCAAGGTAGCATTCCAACAACTGAAGAAAATATAGAACTCAAACAACTGTCAGTCGACACCATAGTCAGAATCTTCAATACGAACATCAAAACCGTTCTACTGTACTGAGCTGAAACTTGGAAAAAGAATACAGTCATGGTCAAAAAGGTGCAAGTACCTATAAAAAGTTGTCTATGCAAAATACTCAATGTTCGTTGGTCAGATAACATCAGCAACAACCTACCGTGACAGAGAACAAACCAGCTTCCATCTGAAGAGGAAATTAGGAAAAAAATACTGCATGTAGGTAGGACGTACATTGTTGAAATAATCAAAATGTAAGCTTGACGTAGAGTCTTGAAAGTAACAGGGAAAGTAGGAGGCGAATAGAAAGAAATTAAGCAAGTGATTTTGTTTTAGATTTTGTGGTGTTCGTTTTTGTTGTTAATTTTCTAGTGGCATTTACCATGGTATATATACGCTAGTGGATTTTCATTATAGAGAGTGAACGCAAATAGTTAAACGATCAGCTTATTTGCGTTTCAGCTTGAAAACGAATTCTCGTAAATGAACTCGATGTTTATCTCAGAAAGGTCGTGTCATATAAATTGAAAAACAAATCCGTACAGTTATGATAATGACGAAAAATATTGTCCTGAAAAATTTTAACTCTGAGCACTTTGACTTTATTTGTGAAACAGACCAAATCCAATAAAAATTGGTGGTATTTAGTGTTCCAGAGTACATAATTATAGTGCTTTTTGATTTATATGCTAGGAATAATTTTGAATTCAGTCATGATATACAAAATGACAGTCATGTTTTTCATGAATGTTTTGACTGAATAATGATGAAAGGCGAAAACTTACCATGATAAACTTAAAATTTGTAGTTTTAACTATCCTAACTTCAATTTTGGTGACCTTGACAGGGTTGTTTAGTGGTCCAGGTATCACGGTAACTGAGTCATATAAAATGAAGCGACATTTGGTTGTAGGAACCATGTTTATGCTGAAATTATTTATGTAACTGTATATCTCCGTTTTTATTTCTGTGTAATTATGTCTTAAATACAATCATGAGCTTCAAGCGCGTTGTTAGTTGACAATAAACTTTTAAAATATGTTACAACAAGAATTATGATGTTTAAGTATTTCGCTTATTTTGACAAGTTGTATATTATGACATCGTCAGTATCTTGTCGTACTTTCTACGGTTTGTGTAATATTATGCATATAATTTATTTGTGGTAGGGATTTGTGAGCATCAACTTATCTATTTTTCCCCTCCTTTTGATAAAACGGAAATAGAACTTGTTTCAAAATGTATCCGTAAAATGTACCACAAAAATATTTCAACTAAAAGCAGCACTCAAATGCTTTCGTATTTATGTGTGCGGTTCCTGTGGACAAAGCCCTTAAAGTAAAATGGAATGTTTTATATTCAAGTACGTTTTCACTCTGGATGGTTAACTCTTGAAGTTTGCTTTCAAAACCGTGATTTACAGCGAGTTCACTTCGACAGTTTTTGTTTCGGTTTCAAGTTATTCTCACCTGAGATAACACATTCTGAGACTTTTTGTAATTAGACGTAAGTACTTGCCGGATTTTATCAGTTATCACCTCATATTATCAGGTTTAGTATAATTCTATCTACTTTCAACAATTTAGCGGTAGATATTTTAAAGCATTTGTATGTTGTAAATAAACTGACTTCTTGCAAGGCTGATCTGTTTATTTTTCAGCGAACATTTGAAGTTTTTTTAAGAAAATAAATTACCGAGTCAGACTTCATTCAACAACCTTTGTTGCTAACTTTTCCTCAAAGCCTGACCAGACTGAGGCGAACAAGACACAACGTTATCATTAGTGTTTATAGCCCGACACTGCATTATAGTATTATCAACTTTCTTCAAATTGTTTATTGAACCAAAGACTTACAAGTCCAAATGGTCACTATATTCTGATTACATTTTAGCTTACACAACATTGTTTTACCTTAGTTGATGAAAGCTGTTTGTTGATATATTAAGTGAAAAACTTTTTAACACATCTTACTTTAAAATTTCAGCTGCATCTCACAGAAGTTGGATATTGTTTGTACAGCTTACTAACCATGTCTAATTCAAAATACGATTAACAATGTTCGGCAAAATACCATTAAAACCTTCAACGCATCTGTTTATCACATTCCTATAGGATTTTAACTATAAAGTATTTGTACGGTATTGATGATATAAATGAAAGTTCACTCTGTTGCGATTGAAAAACGGAACTTTAGAAATAGGTGGTTTTTACTCAGTTTCTGGGTCATTCACATAACAGTTATCTGCAACAATCTTGACAGAAACATTTTGAGCCATTTATTATTGATAACAAACGGGTATGGCTACTCTCAGTGTTTTTTATAAGAATTCGGTATCATTTACTTTGTTTAATTTTAACCAAATGACAGCTAGATGGATACTTGATTAATAGTTATGTACCTTATGATTAAAAGAAAATAATGTCAAGTATACATAATCTTTGACAGAAGCCAATTATCTTTCATCATTTTGGCTAATATAGGTTTAAAAAATGCCAAGGTAGACTTCCATATTTATACCAATTTATCTTCGGTGACTAACGCGCACCGAATTTTAACTCTCTGTTCTATCATTTTAAGCCTATGTCCTCGGGAATATGCCTAACAGAACATTCGAGCATTTCGTCTTTTTAACTTATTTACCCCATGTAAAAAGCTTAAAGTGATACTAATCCCAGGTTTTAGATATCAAAACGGTTTTCGCCGTCTAACTGCAACTCAAGACAAGCAAAATCTAAATTAGACATAATTTCTGTATTCAAAGTGATTGATAAAAAAAATTATTTCTGCCTTGCTGAGATTTGTAGGGACAATACCAGTCATTTATTCTGAACCTAAAATTGACGTTGTGATTAGCTTAATGTCTTATTTTTCTTTTTGTCACAATTATAGTTCAGTAGTTTTATTTGATATGTAGCTTCTTCTGTTTTCTCAATAAATCTTTGTTATATTGAATGATAAGTTTAAGTTCTTCAATTACTTGAAGACTGTAAATAACTGACAAAGTGCGTTGTAACTGCTTTGCTTAAATTTTGGAAAGTGGTCAATTCCATAACCTGCCGTCAGTAAATTCTCAGGTCTGTATGGGAACGTTGAAACACCATAAAACACTTTAATTTTATAGCTCTTTACTTAAAACGACACTTTTTATCACAATATAAGCAAGGCACTCGTTGAAAAATAAAAACTTTTGAATCTGTAATTTATTTGGAAGATTGTCGATGTTAATAATTTGTTTGTCATATTTAATCAGTTTTTTACCTGAGTCCGATTCATTGTAAATCAATTCAAAAAGTGCTATTTCACAGAGCTGTAATTTTATTATCATAATCACACTAGTGTAGAACAGTGAGTAAATACACTTATTTTATTTACTGATATGTAAGTTCGTCTTTTATGTCAGGAAATGTGTGACAAAAATCTTAAGTTCTTCTCCTATGATTCCTCAGTTCACATGTCAAGGAATGATTTTACACATTGTCTTTCTTTTTCAGATTTTTTTGTATATGTATATTATGCTTCAATTCATATAAAGAATTGAAGACCAGACTATCGAAAAGTGCAAAAGTATCTAAATCTATCCGATTTTCATAGAGATGTCGTATCTTAAGGATTTTCCTGTACGTCTTGAATCGTGGCTAGATGTTTGGGGTAATGTCATCGATAAATATGATTTTGAAACTTTCTAACAGATGTTGACTCAATTGAGAACTGTTACTCTGAATGGAAGTACTTTGCTTACAATCTTCCTAGTCCCGTTTGGGTGAAAAAATTTTGCATCATCCTTGAGAACGAACAAAGATTTTATATTTTCAACTCAAAACATGTAAGAATATGTAATTGTTAATTTTCAGTTTGCAAATAACATCGAAAAAGGGTTTTTGAACTTCTGTAGTTTACTAATATAAGGGACTTGCGGATATCGTCGTAGTTTTGTAGTCAACAGTACGGAATGATCTTAGTTGGTCGGCCATTAAACTGGACTGGGATGGTGTTTTATTCCCCACTTCCCGGTTTCAGTGGTTACCCAACTACGATCTGACCGTAATGTAAATTATGATATGATTTATACAACAACGGACCCTAGTAATTAAAATATGGGAATTGAATTACAATGCCTAGACTAAACATTTTAGATCAATTTCTATTATTTCCTGACAATAAACCCCTAATGCATTTGATCTAAATACTTATAATAATAAACATGTGTTTGTAGAGTTGAACCTTGATTAGCATAGGGAACTATGAATAAGTGTTTTTTCCTGTTTAGGTTTCAAATTTTTAGTGTTGAATTCACTTTTACAAGGTTGAATAAAACTATAATTTATTCTCTAAAGCGATCATGTAAATAATCTTATCTCTTTCAAATCTACTTAAGAATTTATTATTGTGGGTCTATGTTCGATTCACATCATATAAATCATATGTTCTGACAATGATTCTTATTTCACAAAACTCCAAGAAAAGCACTTGGGGGAAAAGAATAGCACCGGTTTTACTTTTTAATAAACATGCAGCATTATTATTTTTTATACGTAGAAATCAGTGAGTATTTAGTGGCCCTTTGTTTGACTCTAAATAGATCGTTTCTGGATGCTTTCAAAATATACATATCCTCAGTCCTTGCATATAATTGTCGACCTAACTCGCGTTAGTGAATAGCGGGATTAAATAAGTCAAGTATAAGAATAAAGTTTTGAATACGTATGTTTTGTACAATCATTTATCAGAAAAGACGATTGGAGAAACGAAGAAAAGAGGAGAGAGCGAAGCGAAACGGACTGAAGAAGGCGTCTTAGCCAGCTCACTTTAATTAAACGTTACTCAGTATTTATAACCGAATCGAATCGACGCAAATCAAGTTAAGGCAAGAGCGAGGCGAGACAAGACAAAGGCGAAGCGAATAATCAACAAGGTCAAAATGTGACTGAAGAAGAATGAATAAACTTGCCTGTCTGGAAGCTAGAATAAGCTATGTAGGCTTGACGTGGCAACAAACATTACAAATACTTAGCAATCTACGCTATTGAACATCTCGAACACTCTCTTAGTTCATTTTTAAAACTGTTACCACTGTCCCTTACACTTTTTGTACTACACACCACAGAATTTCGGCATTCCAGTGTGTTGCACGATTGAAGGTTTTTAAATTGTCTGCTTCGGTTGATTTTTTCTTCAAAAAAATAATAAGAACCTTCTTTTCTGCTAACGCTTTCGTTTCATAATATTAGGAATTTTGTTCGTTACTAACGTAACCTATATTAAGTAAATTATTTTCTTACATTAATCTTATACTATTATTGTCCTCATATATTTACATGCATCATTTTACTTGCTATACCTATTTGTTGAGAAAGCAATCCAATATACACATCAGTTGTCAAAAGTTATTTTTTAACATAAGAAATAAAAAACGACCAGTCATAATTAACTTAAATTGAATGTAGCTAAGAATTAAAACAAAATTAAGAAATTATTTTATATCAAAGGGGGTATTTGTGGATATTATGGTAATGTCAATAGTTGAGATGATGAGTCAATTGAAGCTAAACCACCATTGAAAACCTGGAAGCACTTACTGACTTCAGGAGATATTTCCTGGAGTTCTAATGAGGAGCAGTGACCAGCGAAGTTCAACCGGGTCTGTTGTGAGATAGTAACTCACGGAAGACAATGGTGGATGTGTCTCTCGATTTCATGGATTAGTTGAAGTTAGACATTAACATCAATGGGTGCTTTCTCAATGATCTAGAGGTTAAGTGTTCGCGCGTGAGACTGATAGGTTCTGGGTTCGAATCTCGCGGGGGGGGCGGGATCGTGGATGCGCACTGTTGAGGAGTCCTGTGATAGGACGAAACAGCCGTCCAGTGCTTTCAGGTTTTCCATGGCGGTCTATCTTCAATTGATTCATGATCTCAACTATTATAATTAGCATAACGTTTTTTAATTCCGAGACCTATATTGTATGTGACAAGTTTTATTTAACACTATTTAGAGCGTTACACTTCATAAGTGATTAATAACGTTTTCAAATTTACCACATTTAGTGGCTATATATTGTTAGATATATGTAATATAAAATACTTTCAAGTTACGTGGTATAACCTCTTCATAATGAAATCATGAAAATCTAATTTAATTTATCTCATCATTGTAATATTTAAACAGAAAAATTTACTTCAATAAATGTTGTAGAGAACGTAATGTTGAAGTATTTTCCATCTTGGTTTGAAATCATTACGTAATAGTTAATTCTAATTTATTCTTGAATTTAACCAGTTAGTTGTGTGTACAAACACAAACATGTTACCATTAGAGACAACTGATTGTTTTATTGTATTAATAATTTGGATTATGCACTATAATTAGTGGTATATATCTATCTTTATGGTAAATAATCTTATATTTTGTTCAAGTTATGATTTTTACCATCAAAAATTAAAAAAATATTACCCAGTCAACTAAATGATGATTTTATAATTTCATAGTTATAAAACTTTTACTGTTCTATACTTTAAATGGTTACTTCAATACTTACAAATGTTCACTTTAAATTTTCCTTTTTTCTATGCATTTCCAGGATTCTTCTTCTTTATTGTCTCCACCTCATATTGGAATATCCACCATCAACGATACAGCTTATCATGCTTTGCAGAATATCGCATATAAAGCTTTATCAGATGACATTGACAATAATAACATATATCATGACACTATCAACAGTAATACTGATAATGACGACGGTAAGCTGTTGTAACTATTTATTAATAAGTAAATATAATGTGTAATATAGTTTTTATATGGTACCTATGGTACCAAGTGTAGTTAATGATCAATTTTAGGAGATAAGAATAGAGATCTAACTAAGAAAGTGACAGAAAATAATAAATAATGATTAAATACCTATTGGTTTTTGAAATGTAAAGTACATTCTTTTCAGAAAACAATATAATCACATTTTAAACAAATTTACATAATTCTATAGTTAAATAATTGTTGTTTAACTTTGAACACATCAAAAATAGAATGTTGCTAAGCAAGAATGGCTAAATAGTCAAAACGAGGTAAAATAATGGAATCTGAAACAACTATCATTAACAACCAAAACAAATTGATATATAACAGTTAATCTACATATTTAAGTACATCATGAAATAGGTATTAAAACTACATTTACATGTAGAAAAGTTAGTTTAGGTTATATGTTTTATTATCAGAAGGGGTTTGTGGAGATTTTAGAAATTTCACAGGTTGAAATCATGAGTCAATTGAAGCTAGACCACCATGGAAAACCTAGAAGCACTGGACGGCCGTTTCACCTTAGTGTGGGACGCCTCAACAGTGCGCATCCCCGATCCCGCATCCCGCGAGATTCGGGCCCAGGATCTATCAGTCTCGCGCCAGGCGCTTAACCAACTAGACCACTTAGCCGGCATCCAATGGCGTTAATGTCTAACTTCAATCAATCCAAGAATATGTTTTATCCCGAATGTTAATATCTGGTTATAATATAATTGAATTTTGAGAATTTCTCAAAATCAATACATCAATATATCTATTTCATATGTTTCTTTAGAATGGTTGTCATATCATTACTTTTTATTCTTTTAAATCATTTATTACCATTTTTTTTAAAAATTTCCTATCATTTTTGTTTTAATCTTCAAATATACAAGATTGTGATATTCTATTATCTAGTTTAATAATCAGATTACATTCATTTACACTATAGTCTCTAGATAGCACTAAATGATGTAAAGAATAATCGATAGTCAACTTTTTATACCGTTTTTCATTTCTATATTTTAATTTTTGTTTTCATTGTTTTACTTTATTTTATTTCTTAAAAAGAATATTTGAATAAATTTTATTTAAGGATTTCATATTAAATTACAGTATTGTCCAAAAAAATCTTTTTTTAAATTCAATTACGTAAAAAGTAAAACAAGTGAAAAAAATATAATTTTCTGGATTTTTCGAATATTTTAAAATTTATCGCTAAGATATATTTAATTATTTATGATACATTTTAGTAAAATATTTAAACAAAAAAAAGAATAAAGTTTTTTTTGGTATTAGAGGATTCCTAATGGGCTTTTTCAACAAAAAAAATAAACAAACAAAGCAAACCTAATTGATATTGATTTAAGAACTATAAGATTAAACTAGAATGCGCCGCCGTACACTATTGTCTTCAGTGAGTTAATATCTCATGACAGACCTGGTTGAACTCCACTTGCCACGGCTTCACACTAGAACTCCAGGAAATACCTCTTGAAGTCACTCACTAGTGAGTAGGTGATTATTATCAGAAAGGTTTTGTGGAGATTTTTAGTAATTTCAATAGTTGAATTCATGAGTCAAATAAAGCTAGACTACCATGGAAAACCTGGAAGGTTGTGAGTCCGAATCTGGGGGGAGGCGGGATCGTGGATGTGCACTGTTGAGGAGTCCTATACTAAGACGAAACGGCTGTCTAGTGCTTTCAGGTTTTTCATGATGGTCTAGTTTCAATTGACTCATAATTTCAACTATTTAAACTACTAAAATCTTCACAAAACCCCTTCTAATAAACTAGAATGATTGTTAAAATCTTTTATTTGTTACATTCATTATCATGAATTAAACTAAAATTCTTTTGATAGGTTGTTTAAAGACTGATATTGGTTATGTAGTTTTAGACATAAAGAAAGTATAATATTAGATAAATACTTTATTGTATTGTAGTTATTCGATTTTGTATTGAAAAATATATTATTGAACTGATCATTATTAAATGTGTTAGTACATAGGTAAATATGAGCTAATTAGAACACGAAAAAATCCTTTTTGAATTAAAGAAAAACAACTTGAAAATAACAAAGAAAGGTTTAACATAAATAGGTGAAAATAGAAGAATTAATCATTATTCATTAGTACCATAGATGAATGTACATGGAACTGGTCATAAAATTGTATAACAAACGACTATTTTATACATTGGCGGACAGTTGTACAATAGTTAAAATTGCCTTAAAAATTTCATTAGCTCTAGTAGGTTGCTGCTTTCATGAACTTATGGTGAGAATGAAGTAAGCTTATCTAGTTTCCAATAACTTGATTCACTTTTGATGTATGTAAAATATCCGTCTACAAATCATTTAGTAAGTATTATGATATGGGTTCAGTTTATGAAGCTATTGAATTTTAATCAAATCTATATAAGAAGATTCATAATTTTTAATTTCAATCAGTGCGGTGGTCCTCATCATTGATTGAAAGTGTTGCATGATATAAAATGAAATAAGTCACAATGGTTCATTCGCGTTCATGGTCAGTGCTATTTCAAACCATTATTTTTCAATGTTTGTTTGAAACTTTAAAGAAAAGCAACTTTACATTCAAAAATCTGAAAACATTTCTGATAAAATGGTTTAAAAGAAACCGCTAGACCATTAATTCGATTCAAATTTCAAATTGAATTAAAAAGCAACATACAATTCCGATGATTTTTAATTAATTTCCCAGCTGATATGGCAGTGAAAAAATTTATTTTTATTCCCTATACCTTGGTAGTCTTTAGTTTTCTTATAATCCAAAAACCATTATATTTCATAAGTTATGTATAGTACGCTCCAGCAAACTGAAAAATAATATTATACCACGATTAGTGTTATTATTAATGGCTTTAATCAATATTACATTTTTGCTACAATATAAAATTCTCAGCACAAATTATTCCAGCAAGTTTTTTTCTTATTTCTTGATCGATCCCGACGATAAATAATGAGGGGTCACCAGTTAGATGTTAACAGTTCAGGAATTGACATCTGAATAATGTTCATTCTTTTCAATGTATACTGCCACACACCACGATGTCTCTGATTGTAACTTGTATAGTGAAAGGTTGCAAACTTTTCATAAGCGCGCCCGAATAGGTTATGCGATTAATAAACATAATGATGTGTTAAAGGAAACGAAACAACCATATACTGATAAAAAGCGGATAGGTAGTTGAAATATCTAAAAGGCAGGGAAAGGTAGCTCAGATATTCAAGTAGGTCACCAGTATTACTGACTGTTGATATCATTCATGTTCAAAGGCGTAAATTTCCTAGTTTATATCACTATCATAATTCACTATTATAATACATAGTTATAAAAGCCAAATGATAGCCTACTCATAATTTAATTCTTTCAACTAAACTCATTGTTTTCGGATTAGTTTCTCTTTGTCTAGTTTACATTAACCTTGATAGGGTTATTTTAGATTCTACGAATTTCGTCATATGGATTTCTTCTCTAGTTATACTAGTGTAGTTTATGAGATTTGAATCGATACCATATTTTTACTGAATGACTCTAATGTGACCCTGTAAAAGTCTAAGTTTCTTTTAGTTTAATATAATGACGAACGAGCTTCCAACAAACACGGTAGTCAGGAAGGATTTTAATGTCACCAACTTGGACTCGTGTGCTGTTACGGGTATGAGGGCTGATGTCACTTCCCGGCTGCCCACACCGTGGAAGGGTATTTCTTGAAGAACCTGAAAATTAAGTTGGATTAGTGTTGGTCATAACGATCTGGGAGCGTGACCGCAGAGCCCAAGGGGACAACTGCTTGAGACCGGTCGCGCATGGCCTTTTCGTGGGAGGTTTTTGATGTGTTAGCTCCGTTCTTCAAAGGGCCTTACCACCGGAGATGGAAATCCGTGAGGTAAGGTGAGGTATGACATTTTTAGGGTCAACGTTTTCTAACCCCCTCCTTCCTTGTGAGAAGGCAGCAACGCTGCAGATGCTAGTTGTCCGAGGGAAACACCTTACTGCTGTCACACCCCTCTACAGTCAGCAGTACGACTTCACCCTTAGACCTTGAGTTGTTGCTTTTAGTCTTACCGTTCTCCAATCGATCTGCCTGGTATGGTAGAACCTACAGGAACATATGTTCCGGCCAATATAGCTCGGTTGGGTCATCACGATAGGCAAGCCCGACCACCGCGTCAAGGTAGCAGCTACGGTCAGGAACAAACTCGGTATCTAGATTAGAAACTTCATACTAATTACTTAAATTTGAAAATAATATTTCCTAGTGTTTCTAATGATTTATATACATATCTCATTCAAAGCTAATGAGTATGATGAGTTTAATGATATGTATATAGTACCTTCCAAATACTAAAATTTACTATTCATTGTGGATTTAAATCATTTTTATTAATATTGTGGTTTTAAAATTTATTTAATCATATAAACAGACTTTTAATAAACTGACCATGTTTTATGACTTATTTTTGTGCTGATTATTATGTCTTATTATTTATGATAGAATTAAGATTGAAAATTTCGATATTCTTATGCACTAACAAAATTTTATTCGACTCTATATGAACTAGTTGTATAACACTGTCAATGACTTTTTATTGGCGGATAAATTTAAAAAGTTTTAAGTGTTGCTATGCATGTTTTAGAACTAGCTGATATATATGATTACTTATCTAGACGAGTAATGCTGACTTATATGGGATTAGATAAGTAGAAACTGAAAGACAACAAGATGAAAACATGACATTAGTTTATAATATCAACTTTGTCATTAACGTACTTTTAGAGATAACACTCTCCTCATTCAAATTTAAAGGGGTTGAACTTCTACCGGGAGGTTCACTTGTTGACTTAGAATATGCCGATGACATAGTTTTATTTGGTGAAGACGCTGACAAAATGCAGAGTCTTCTGACCACTCTAAGCAACAATGCAAGCATGT